TATTGCTCGTTCTACAAGACACACACGATCGTCTGCCAATACAGCTGTTACCAAATACTCTGTACCTAAATGCAAGACTTCAACCTTGTAACGGTCATTTATTGTACGAACAATAAGAATCGGGAACACATTGTCAGACGAGCTTAACCTAAGTATGAACAATGTAAATGATTTCAAACGTGCTTTGATGTGTTATTATTCGACTGCACTTCGAGAGATCTATGGCATTGACAATCCCAGGACTTCTAAAACTATCTGTTCAAAATCTAATTCATGTTCCAACCTGAAAACAACGCCAACTCCATGCTGTTCTTAATTATTAATTATTAATTGATGCAATAGTTTTACTATTTTGATACTCTTAGGACCACATTAAATTGGCCATGGCTGTTGTGGTTGCCAGCCCGTTATCGTTATTGTAATTTATCCGTGTTCTTTATTGTACTTATTGTTGGCAACTAATAAATTAAATTATTCCTAAGTAGCAATGATTTTCACAATATCTGATCACCTGACAAGTTTGTAAATAAAGTCGGATAACTTAAGAGAGTAGAGTACACAGCCTAGATGAAAGTATTCTGTCTGTTTCTAGAAATGAATAATGCAAATATTGTTGTTATTAAGCATAGTACGTTTTGCCGTTGTTATTTTAAATTTGAAATATTTCACAGGAATAGTTAATTTGACCTATGATTGGTCCAAGTGTTTCTTTTCCTTTTGTTATTCAAACTTTCTTTTTTAAGAATTAGCATTTGTATATGTATTTTGTTTTTTCTCTCTGTTGTTGTAACCGTTTTTTGGATGTGAGCGAAATAAAAAGAAGCAGAAGTTTGCTTTAATCGTGTGAAAACTTTAAATATAAGTTTTTTACACAGCCCAGCAGAAACAAAGAAATTAGTTAAGCAGTGTCTATTTATATTTTCGATATGTTAATCAATTAACGTCTGTCACGGCACAAATTTTTTCTCAACTTTCGTTCCTCTTTTTGATATTTGCTCTTGCATGTGATTGATTCTGGTTACTAACAGTGAACTAATTGAAATCATTAACTCACGCGAGTCTTAATCAGAACATTACGAACACAACTCCTCATATCAGCACATAGGCAGTTGCATTCTTTCACTGAGTCACGCTAGTCGCTGGTTATGACTGGCAGTTGGATGTCAGGGATGTGGTGCCTTCTTATTGGTCACCATTGTCTTACCACGCCCACCTTATGCATTTGAGGACACGTGTGAACTGCACTTGAAAATTCTTTGCTCAAGTTTTAGGTCTTCCTTCATAAGGATACTATATGCAACTAAGTGATCTGAAGACGCTGAGAAATGTCCTCTACTTTGTGACGACTTTTAAGATAACGGTAGGTATAATTTCAAAAACTAGAATTCTTTTCATTAACTGGTGAGTCAATGAAGTTGCATTAAACTCCACCAACATAAAGTTGATGACTACACCAGAATTTCCGCTATGTCATTTTCCTATCTTTAACGCGAGTTACTCATGCAACTTTGCGTGATTCGTAACGACCTAATCGATAAGAACAAAATACGGGGGTATTTTGGGAGTGAATAAAACAACTCAGTAAACTTTAACGACAGTCAAATTGCGTTTTCAATTCTAGCCAAATACTTTCATTAGCCATGAAGTCTACAAATCTAGGTTAGAAAATCATCAACGGTTTAGGTGTTTGAAGGAAGGTCGGCTAGAAAATCATGATAAATAAGAAGATATCTTAGTTTCGCAAAGTTTGAAACCGCCTAATTTTTCATTCTTCCTCAGGCGTAATTTTAAAAAGATATGCGAGAAGCTCTTGTCATGCCTGATTTCTTAAGCGGCGCGCCAATAATTTCATGGCTGCAGCTAAAATTATCGCAAGTAGCGCAGTCGTCTCTTAAACCTCATCCTATTAAAATCTAAACTTGGAAATCTGGATGCCGGGGCTATGTAATTGGTCGCACTCGCAGTGTGACCAAGAAATTAAAATACCGTGCATTCCGTTTATCCGGCCACAAATAGAAAGAAACGTCCTTTTCAGTAAAAGGAGCCTGTGCACTAGTGCGTCTAAAAACTACAATTTTCATTTATACAGTCTCATTTAATTTGTAAATATTTTTTGTAATTTCTTGTAAATATGAAGTATTTCATTTTAGTGCCGACCTCATATCTAATAAACCATTACCATTACCATATAGTTTGCTTGATACAACGATAGCCTCGCGCACTATTGACAGCTAGAGTTGCTGAGGTATTTAGCCGGTTTGCGCATCATTTTCTTTCCTCATGTTGAAGGCCGTCCAAATTCATCGTCGAAGAAAACAACTCGTATTTTCGTGACGTAGGCATAAGCCTATTACGCGTCGGGCAGTGATTTTATATTTCCCTCAGGCTATTTTTCATCCCACGTAAACACATTGTCAATATTTCGCTTATATTATCTTCTTCTGCATTGACGAAAAGGGATAAAGTTCTCCGTCTTAACAGTCCCTATCACTGTTACCACTCCTGTAAGAGGGACAACCAAGCCAGCAGTGCAAGCAACCCTCTAGCGAGGAAGAGTAAGTTTGCGTCACGAACTCGTGATTGTTCACTTCGACGCTGTGATGTCTAGGCTTGAATGGGCAATCGTGCCTGTGAAAACCTCGGGGGAGTCCAAAGTTTGTATGCCTGCACATGTGCTTCGTGTATCCGAGCGTTAACTTGTTCTGTTGCCACGTTGCACATTGTTGCGATTCAAGCCAATGAAGAAGATGGACCTTTAAGTATTTTAACTTCTCTAAGAATTTGAACAACCATAAATAGCCCCGCTCAAGTCCTAGGACAGGGATAACAGTAGGTGCTTTTTTTTTAGTTATTTTTTATCCTCGTTCGAAACAGTCCTAGACAAGGCTTAGTCTAATACTTGATGACTAAAGCACAATTTTCCCTCTGCATCCTCTTTCCCATGTTCTGGTATAAGCTTCTCTTGTCCCCATGACAAGACTAAAAGAGAAATGTTTTTGAAAAAAAGATAACATTTTGTTCTTAATGTAAATTCAAGAGGGGCCGTGGGAAACTTGGTTGAACTTACTAGGCTACAACTCGAGCGCACGGCCAGGGTTTCATCAAATACTAGCATACTTCTGTTGTAAAAGCCTTTCAGCTGAGCCTAAGATAGATTAAACTCAGATATACGTAATGGATTACAAGTCTTGTTACCGAGATTTAATGTCTGAAAGTTCTGAATTGCTCCTAAACGCTTAAGTTATAAATTCGCTATTGACAGGAGCAGATGACACGAATCAAGAGATTATCTCATGTATGTTTCATGGCTATAGATTGTTTGCATTCGCAGATCACTGAAAACTGTTCAACCGTATACCTTTTGCGCTCGCCGAAAAGACGCGACAGGAAGCCTAGCATCCTAATCGAAGCTGGTTTTCTAAATACAGTGGAACTCTTAAACTATGATAATTTTGTCTAACTGACACGATAAAGCGATTAGCTACGATGCTATCAATATCATTTCGTAGATGCTAAATAAGAAAGAGCTGGGTAACGAATTCAGCTGGATAGTGAGTCGCTGGTGGCACAATCGACGCACTTAAGATTTGAAGCGATCACTCGCGCAACGACCATAAACAGTTAGTACGCTGAGTTGATTGTGACTTTATCATTTGTTGTGAAGGCTAAAAACTAATCAGACGTATTTTTAGCGAGTAACCGTTCGCTATTTCTTTAAGTAATGTCTTTGGCTGATATTTTTCGAATATCCGGCAAAGTAGGAGAAGATTGGGACGAGAAATGCTTTTCTAACGAGAAACTGGACACACAAATGCTTGATTAATGAATAAATGACTGTGATTATATGAAAATCATATAATGTGAACTACGGATTAACAAGTGTATATGTGAGTGATTTTCGCAGTAATGAACACTACCAAAGCTGTCAGGTCAGTGGTGAAAATAGCTGACGCACTACAAAGAGTAGAGATGATGTTCCCTCAAGAACTCAGGATTCTGTCTTAAATTTCTTTGGGAGGCTATCGTCTACCTTCATTGGATTCTAGTTTCCAGTCCAATGGTTTTTATAAGCCGCCAATATGAGCAGTTCAGAAAACTAACAAAGCAACGCAAATAACAATGCAAATATATTAACTGCACAAACAGCTTTGCCGCTGATGTAATTTCACTGAATTTATTATCTGCAACGGAATAGCATCGTCGAATGTTATTTTACTGAATTTATTATCTGAACAACAGATTTGTCGAATATTAGTTCCTTACACACTTTATCGCCACAAACTAGTCATTGTTAAGCCAACCAGAGGCTAACAAATTTCCTTTTGGCTGTTTCATTCGGAAATGTTCGCAGTCATGTGAAGTATAACCATTGAAACCACGTGGGAACGCGGCATAACGTACCGATTATGAGCCAAAAAAACAAATTATTGCAAATTCGTGGCACCCAGATCGACGCAATTATTGTGATTAACTTTTTTGTCGAATTATGAGCGACTAACTTTTAATTTTATTAAGAACATTACATACACAACTCCCCATTCCAACACGTGGACAGTTGAATTCTTTCACCGAGTCGCGCTAGTCCCCAGTTACGAAGGGCATTCTTGTCTGTGGATGTCCAGGATGTCGCGCCTTCCTCTTATTGGTTAATTATCGTTATCTTGCCTCGCCCAATTTATGTGTTTGAGTACACGTGTAAACACTAATCGGAAACTCTACTCTTAAGTCAGTCTTCCTCATAGTTAGTCTTCCTTTATTCATAAGAATATTATTTGCAACTAAGCGATCCGAAAATGCTCAGAAACCTTCTATACTTTGTGACCATCGTCAAGATAACGGTACGTATAAGTTCAGAGACTAGAACTATTTTCAATTGCTGGTAAGTCGATGAAGCTCCAGCAACATAAAAGTTGATGATGATAGCACAATTTCCATTATGTCATTTTTCCTGCTTTAACGCGAGTAATTGAAATGACATGTAACTGCGCGTGCTTCGTGACGACGACTTATCGATAAGGACAAATTACGGGAGTATTTTGCGAGTGAATTAAAGAACTCAGTAAACTGCCCTAAACAACTGTCATAGGCGGTTTTAATTCAAAGCAAATTCCTTCATTAGCCACAAAGTCTGCTAATCTAGGTTAGAAAATCATCAACAGTTTACGTGTTTAAAGGTAAGTCAGCTAGAAAATAATGAATGAGCCAATATCTTCGTTTGCCAAAGTTTGAGAGCGCTTAATTTTCATTTTTCGGGTGGAGTAAGTATTAAAAAGATATGAAAAAATAAATCTTTATGCCTGAATTCACAAGCGGCGCACCTACAATTTCATGGCTTCTAATTAAATTGAAGCAAATAGCTTTTTTCGTCCTTTAAACATAATCCTATTATAACCTTAACGCTGGAAATCTGAACGCTGCGGCGATGGAATTGGTTGGACTCACAGTGCGGCCAGAAATGGAAATGAGCAATCGCCATTCTGTTTATCCGGCTACAAAAAGAAAGAAAAGTTATCTTCAGGAGAAGTATCCTGTGAACTACTGCGTCTAAAAACTGCCATATGCTTTGCTTGAAACCACGATAGCCTTGCGCACTACTGGCGAATAGAGTTGCTAAGGTATTTAGCCGATTTGCACATCATTTTATTTCCTCAAGTTGAAGGCCCTCCAATTTCCCAATCGAAGAAAACAACTCTTATTATCGATCCCGAGTTCACATGTTTCCAAAAGTTCTCAAACTTAACGGATCAAACAGACAGATATTCAGAAGTTGCTAAAATCCAGCATCAATAGAATTAGTACATGCCGATTAAATTCTTTCTAAGTATGTTTAATGGTCGATTTTAGGACAGCAGTAGCTATATATTTTTTTAAGTTATTGTTTATCGCCGTTCGAAACAGTCGAGGCTTGGTCCAATAATTAATGACTCAAGCACAATTTTCATAGGAGGCATAAAAAAATTGAACTTACTGGGCTACACCTCGCGCGCACGTCCCGGGGTTTCATCAAAGGCTAGAATACTGCAGCTAGTAAAGTCTTTCAGCTGAGCGTAAGAAAGGAAAACTCTTATGTACATAGTGGATTGTAATTCTAATTGCTGAGATTTAATGTCTGAAACTTCTGAATCGTTAAACCCACAACAGATTTATATCTAGTGAAAAGAGAGGCGGCGGCGAAATAATGGCTAGAAGTCTTTTCAAGAGATTATTACCTCCTGGTAGTTTGAAACTGTTCAGCCGTAAAAGACGCTAAAAAGACGCAGCGAGAAGCCGTGCATCTCATCAACTAAAATTATGTCAGTAAAAGCATTAATTCAAAATACAGTGGATAGCCTAATGATGTTGTGGTCTAAACACAACAAAGCAATTAGATACAATGCTATATATGTGTTTTATTAGTTCTTAAACAAGGAACAAGCTAGGCGAGCCGCAGTTAATCAAAAACTGACAATAACACGCTAACAAACTGAAGTTATTACTCACGCTACTACCATAAACAATTAGTCTCTTAAGGGCTTTGAATTATATTTTACCAGTAAAAGAGCTGTCAACGAGATTAATGACCACTTTGATGTGAACACTATGAAAATAAAGTCGAAGAACGATTGTTGATGACATCAATTAAAATAACAAGCATGTCATAAAAGGTGCCATTATATAATTGCTAATGCGGTGTTAGGCATATGATTCATTGAGTCTTCAATGCCAATAGCCGCTTTGGGAAACCAATCAATTTTAACGAATCAGTAAGTGACAAGGAATACATAGGCTAAGCCGTGCCAATCCACTTATCATTAGGTAATCTAACCAGGTAGTTTGTGTTTTGTTATCATCTTGGAAAAATATGGTTTCATCTGAAAGGGAAGGTTTAATGTCTATCCGTCCCTTTTTGGCTAATAAATCATGTGAAGAGAAGTTTTAAACAAAGATAGCCTGAGGAATGGAAAATTCGCGCCAGCTTGCCGTTCTGATCGATCAATAGAAAAGAACTTTTGATAGAGGTGTCAATAAGACCGTATCCAGGGGGTCCAACTTTCACGCGCGTCGTTCAAATTTATTTGGCTGATAAGACTAAAGGGAGGAAGAAATCTCAGTTTCTCCGACTAAAGAGGAAGAGAAGAGTAGAAGGAAGGAGATCTTGAGGAATATTCCCACGTCCCTGCTCTACAGGAGACGACCGCCAAGACAGGTAAAGCAGTTGAAATATGTAGTGAAAGAGAATTGAACGAAGATATAATGTTCAGGTTATACTCCACTAACCAGAGACAATGCAAGGAGTGCTGCGTGATGAATCGCAAGCGAAACAAATCGCACAAGGCTGGACCACTTTGTTCAGCGGCAACAGACCAATCAAATCTTGTGCCCATAGGCTTTTTCTCACGCTCCTTCATTGTTTCAAACTCGTTGACACCCCTTGATTGGTTATCATGGGGGACTCGCCTCTCCTTTTACTGTCAAAACCCGTTTTTGTATATGCAGTAGGTGTTTTACAGCCCCAATATTAGTTCTTTAGGCAGATGTGCGAAATATCAGGGAGCTCAGGCCTCTATTGAAGGGAACCGGTCCCAGTATACTGAGGTTAATGCTAATAGTTCTCATTTTGGAAATAAACCACAACGCTTTCTTGCTTGGTATGACTAAGGACCATTTTGTGCCCTTCATGAAATCACCTGGGCGCGTTTCAATTCGGCTTGGAAGCTTGATTTTTCGCGTGAAACTGCTCAACTGAACCATTGAAAGGTCACCTATCGAGGGACAGTCCCGTATCCCAACATGCAACGTGATGCAAGATATAAGAAAGAGCACCGAAATCGCCTACCTTTTCAGTCTTACCTCTCGTTGAATACACATCACATTCAAGCCCTACCGTCAACTTAAAACCTCTTGGAAAAACAGGATGTTGGGAATTACGTATGTGGCTCTCCTTGTGACTATATCATTCGGACTAAGTAACTTACTTTCTACTTGATCATGTTTTTTCCTGTGTTAGAAGGCTGTGTTCATGAGTTACTTTGAATTACAATCGGTTGAATTGTGGCGGTCTCATTGATTCTGTGAGTCTTTCGGCATTGTTATTATTCATTTTTGGGTCTTGCTGGTGCGCGTTTCAATATAGCTTCGAGAGAATAACAAAATGCTGATTAAATTTCTTCCATGTTTTATGGTTTACTTAAGGACAACGTTGGGTATATTGTTTTGGAGTTATTGGTTATTACTGTTCGAGACAGCTGTGCTAATCGAGGCGTGCCTTAAAATATGATGACTCAAGCACAATTTTTCTGTCAGCACTCTCCCTCCCCGCATGTTCTGGCTAAGCTTACCTTATAACCATAACAAGAAGAGCAGAGTTATGTTTCTAACAAAAGAAAACATGTTCTGACCATGAATTCAAGAGGAGCACTGGAAAATTGAACTTAATCGGCTACACCGGTACCTTGCGCGCACGTTCCAAGGTTCTATCAAAGGTTAGAATACTGCAGTTGGTAGAGTCTTTCAGCTGAGCGTAAGAAAGAAAAACTCAAATATGCATAGTGGATTATAAGTCTAATTGCTGAGATTTAATTCCTGAAACTTCTGAATTGCTAAACAAACAATAGATTTATAGCTAGTAACAATACAGGAGTCGGAAAAATAATGGCTATAAGTCATTTCAAGAGATTATCATTTCTTGCTGGTTTGAAATAGTTGAGCCGTAAAAGACGCTGAAAAGACGCAGCGGGTAGCCGTACATCTTATCAACTTAGTTGATAAAACCAAATTATCTTAGTAAAAGCATTTGGTCTAAATTTAGTGGATAGCTTAATGATGTTGTGGTCTAAACATAACAAAGCAATTAGCTACGATGCAATACATGTTTCTGATTAGCTCCTGAACAAGGAACAAGCTAGGCGAGCAAAAATAATTGAAAACTGACTTCAACACACCTACAAGTTGAAGCTATCACTCACGCCACTTACGAGAACAGTTAGCATCTTTAGGGCTTTGATTGTTATTTTATCAGTAAAAGAGCTGTCAGCGAGATTAATGACCACTTAGTTGTGAACACTGAATATAATGTTGACAAACGATTAGTGAATACATCAATTTAAAATAACAACTAGTCATAAAAGGTGCCGATTCCTTAGTACTCAATGTCAGTAATCGCTCCGTGCAACTAAGCAATTATAACGATTCAGTTCGTGACGAAGAATCCATGGGCTAAGCAGTGCTATTTTAATTATCGTTAGGTGATCTAACCAGGTAGTTTGTTTTTTTGTCATCTTGGAGAAAGATGGTTTCATCTGAAAAAGAAGGTTTCATGTCTATCCGTCGCTTTTTGGCCAAGAAATCATTTGAAGAGAAGTTTTAAACAAAGATAGCCTGAGGGATGGAAAATTCGCTTATTGCTATACACTCAATAGATTTAGAGCTAGTGACAAAAGAGAAGTCGGCGAGATAATGGCTGGAAGTCTTTTCAAGAGATTATTATCTTCTGGTGGATTGAAACTGTTCAGGCGTAAAAGACGCTGAAAAAACGCACCTGATAGCCGAGCTAGGCCCGCAGAAATGATTGAAAAATGTGTTTCAATTCAGCTTGGAAGTTTGATTTTTTGCGTGAACATGCTCAACCGAATCATTGAAAGGTCGCCTATCGAGGGAAAGTCGCGTATCCCAGCATGGGTTCTATCGGTATTTTGAGAGCATATTGAAAATCTCTGCTAAGTTTGGTAACTTTTTTATGCATTACCCTATTTGACAACATGATTGAAATTTGTCTTGATTGACAAATAATTTATTTCTCATGATCATATCCCATCCTTAGCACCGAGGAGATGAAAGTTCGAGTCACACTCTGCATTCGAGCGTCAAGAACTCTTTGGACACGTTGGCAGTGAATTAATTAGAAGAAAACATGATGCACAAAGGTCTAGTCATCTTACGGTTATTATTAAAGCAATGGCAACGCAACCTTTATTTCAAACCCCGACTTATATTCTATAGAGAAATTTGCCTGATTTCTTTTAAACAGCTTTCTTTGTTAAAATTCACTAACTTTTAACGAACGGATGTTTAGTAGCAGTTGTACTGAGATGTTCACTTAAAAGACAAGTACAAAAGGTATATCGGTAAATTATTTGTTACTTAAAGAACCATAAACTAATTTTAACCTTCGTTAACTTACGCACCGTAGCGAGCGGTGTTATTATTGTCATTGTAAATATGGTCAAAACTAATTGCTATTAGTATATACTAAAACAGTGGATAGCGTTGAAGGCGCTCTCTGATTGGCTAGTCAAACTCCGAATATCCTTTGCTATTTACCTCCGAGCAACTCGAGAAAACATGGCGTCCCGGTTTGCATCCGTGACAAGTGAAGAAATCACTCAAATTAACGACGGTGGTGTATATCATCTCACTGTTTTAGTATATACTAAAACAACTATTCACCTCAGTGTCGGTGGTTAACGGTGGATATTTACCTCGCCGCTTCGCGGCTCGGTAAATATCCATCACTAACCACCTCCACTTCGGTGAATAGTTGTTAATTGACTGAAATCTTAATGAAACAAAGATACCTATCTATTCCCCTCCCCAAAATAACTGAGCTATACCACCGAATTCGTTGGAAAAAACGTATTTCAACACAGAATTACACGTTCCTGATGTTCCCTAGAAATATAAATTTAGATTAAGTTCAGTCGAGAGAAAAAGAGTGAGTTCATTAAGCCACTTTATGGAACCTTTACTTTTACTTTTAGCCTGGGGGAAAATATCATTCAATTAAAACAAATATCAGTAATTCGTTTTGCATGAGAAAAAATGTTTTAATATGTATGCATAAAGTATAAAAGATTCTTAAGGTGCTGGTGCTCTTTGATTTCTTTAATTAGGTGCGGATTAGCAAAACAAAGTAAAGCTTTTATGAAAGTGAGCGCCGCACATTTGTTATGACCAGTAGTGCGCGAAACGTTCGTTAATTTTCCAGGAGGGTTTAAATTGACAGGGTTGCATGTGTTGACCTATACAGTCAACCGTTAATTACATTTATTTACATCTACATTTATTGTACATTTATTTTTACGTTTGATTTACATTTATTACAATTTATTGTTTCGTCCCTAAAGCAATCTCTGTTCAACTTCGTCTACAAAAAACTGGTTATGAAAAAGGACACAACTGAAGAAAAATATTTAAATAGGGTTTTCACTACTAAACGGTGATGGTCTTCTTTGTAATTTTATAGACAGACAGTGACTTCTTGTTCTTTCACACAAATTGTTTAGAGATGTTAGTAGCTCAGAACTCATGTAATAGCGTGCGAGGACTAAACCACAAGAGTTCATTAGCAATTTAAGTTTTGACAATTTCAGAAGTCATGTAATAGCGTGCGAGGACTAAAACACAAGAGTTCATTAGCAATTTAAGTTTTGACAATTTTTTTCGCGATTGGTAGCACGCATCTCTACTTTCGTGACTGTTAAATACAGAGTAACACTTAGCTTCCTGTAATTATACACTAAAACGATGTTTCTGTTACTGATACACCTGACGGTGAGAATAACAAAAAGCTAACGAAGTTTCCGATCGGAGAAGAGAATATATGCTGCATTTAAGCGTATTATTTGAGTACTTTACAATATAATTGTGGCCCTCAGCACAATAGTCCATAAATTAATATTCATTAAAAAGGAAAACCCTTAATATTTTAGCTTATCTTTTTATTAAAAATAAAATGAACTCCATGTTAGCTTACCGAGTAGTAAGTTGCACGCACCGGTCCGATCGCCGCATCTGGGTTTGTATCTCGCACCAGTCAGGTCACTGCATCGGGGCATGTTGGCACCAATCCGAGCGTCGGTGTATTGTCCCTCATCTCTATCATGTCATGGAATCAGCGTGTTGTAAAGTGTTGCATTGGAATCAACCCAACATTGACTCACACTAAGAACGACATCGGCAAAGAGTTGAGTTCATCTATCCAGTGAAATAATTCATTTCCTTTGTGTGGATCTCGTCGCTATGATCTGTCGGGGTTACAAAAGTCAGTGGGGAATTATTCTACCATTTGAAAGTTAAAGCGCGTTTTGTGTACTACTCCTTCACTTACAACGCACGCGCAATCAGAGAAAGGTCTAGTACGTAGCTATCACTGAAGCGTTTGTTTCAGAAGGGCTAGTTTCGCTGACTGTGGTAAAATTTGCGAAAACTGAGCATTTGCATAAGGAAAATTTTATCCATAATCTTGTTTTAACCTCGTGGTTGCTCATTTGGCTAAAACAAAATTGATAAATAAGTTATATAAACTTTCTGTGTCGACTGCTATGTTGATATCCGTTTCTTTGCATTTAGAAGCTCTCCATGAATTACATCTTGTGTTTATACGGTGTTTTTCCCGTTTACTTGTCACTATTGAGTAGGCCTTCCTTTATAAAATGACATTTTCTATCAAACAGCCTAAATTTTACGATATAATCTTACCCCTCTGAAAAAATCCACCTGAAACTAAAACTATTACTAGGAAATTTTCCACGTAACTCTCACGTGCTTTGACGTTGTATACCAATCAAATTTGCCTTAAGCTACCTTGGACTTCACCCAATCAAGTATCATTTCCTCGTGAACAACCTGCATTTCATGCAATGCAAAGACCAGAAAGGCAAAATTCCCCTTCCCCATTTTTGCTTAAAATGGTTCAGACAGCGGTGACAACAGACCACAAAATGCCTGTGTCTGAGTTTATTTGAAATAAATTGGAAGGGTCGGTTTTTCTCTCTATTGAACGGTATCTGTTAGAAAATTCGAAAGTAACCTAATGCCATTTATATTTTACAAACTTGAAAAAATCCCTCAAAGCGTCCCATCTAAACCCATCCATCCAAAAGAAAAATTCTTGCATGCGTAGCATGCTTATGTTAACACTAGTTGGCATTTTATGTCGAATGTTGAAATGCATGCGTGAGTGAACGCATGTTACAATAGGGAGCATGAAATTAAAATGAAAAACAACGATCATGTCCTACTTTCGATTATAACATAACTAAAGCAAAGCGCGCGCTCTGATTGGTTAATTCAGCATCTACTATTTGCCCATGGGTCCGTGCTGCTGACGTGAGCAAATTCTAAGACTATTTTTCCGCGCGCGCTTGTTTTTTCTGATCACGTAAGATTTGTTAAATAAAAAGGGAACTCTTGTTCCAATGTATCTATGTTATGTTATAAAACAAATAGTGAACGCCATAGGGCGTACTTTTGAGTTATGGATTCACTTGAGAGGTTTGCTAAGCACTCAAGAAGCTAGAATCGCACTCGGCTATCGCCTCGTCCGACTCTTACGCTTCTTTCGTGCTTAGCAACCTCCCGTGTGCATCCATAACTCAATAGTACACGCTATGGCGTTCACCATTGGTTATCAAAAATTCAGTGAGCACTTGTGATGATTGTTACTCTTTTTTTCGAACATCAACGAAGACATGCTCTTTCCCCATTTTATTTTGCAGTTCGCTGCTCTTGACTGCCCTCCTTTAAATTACTTCAATGGGACGCACTGTACACAATGCACAAAGTGTCCCCCAGGTTTTGGCGTAAGAACAAATTGTACACCTGAAAAAGACACGGTCTGCCAGCCATGTTATCCGCGATACGATTATTCGAACACAACCGGATACGAACCATGCATTCTGTAAGTATTGCTCGACACGGTTAAAACTGGTGATGTAACGGATAAAGCTGCGATACGTTACGGGATAGCCTGCAGAGCGGGCGTAATTTGGGGGAGTGCTCCGTATTTTCTCAGCGAAAAATGGGAGAGAAAGAAATGTGTACTAAGAGGGTGAAAGACAGTAATAAATGAAGTGGTGGCTGAGATGAGGAAGTGCCCTTTTCCCGCCCCCTACCCCTACCGTCTACTGAATCCAAATCAAACATGGAAAATAAACGATCACGAGCTAATAACGTTAACTCGCCCTTTTAAGAGAAAATGTGGCCAAAAATCGAACATTTTCAAAATATGGTGGGCAACAGCCAAAAAATCGATTCGGCTCATATTCTCAAGTTAGGTAGGCCTTATGGTGAAACAAAGCACTGTATACTTCGTTTGGCTGAATATCGATTTATTTTCGAGAAAATCGATAATCATGACTGAAATTCGCCAAAATGTCGCTTTTGAGGCTCAAAATTTAAGACGAATCTCGGAGCGTCGCGCCACGAATTGAAAACTCTTGGACCGATAAAAAGTACCAAACCTTGATAAACAACACCAATACATGTGTTGACAGCAATTTGAGCAATTCTTCATCATTTATTTACACAATCTAACTGAATTTATCCGACCTTCTTCTAACAAGATTAAAAATAGGTCAAAAGTAACCCGTTATTTAACTATGTGGTAAATAAAATAATTGACTGAAAATCTGACTTTTGGAAGGCGAAGTGTAGTTTTTTTCGATCTCCAAAGGAATTTTTAGGGAAATGATTCAGTACAGTTTAATCCAAATTAAAAGTTGGTTAAAATGAGCTAATTTGACGGTGCCGTCAGTTTGGTGCTTAAATCTATTTAGTTTAGGCGTAGTGGCAAACCTCGAAAGAAACCTAGAAAGAAAAGGTGGAAAAGTTTCGAGTTGTTATTTTGGGTACCTTAGCTCAATAAATTGGCAAAGAATCATGAAATAAATAGAAAGACAAATAAATAGAAAGTTCATGGGTTATCATCTAGTCTCTGAAAAGTAGGGATAGGGCCAAACACAATACAATTCAGCGAAGGCATCATTGAAGCATTTACTGCATCCAATCAAAAATAATGGCCCAAAATTCGAAAATGTACACATTCACACGCAAACTCAGTTGTTTCGCAATTTATATCCGATCTGCAGCTTGTTTAACGTAATATCATCTTACCGTCCATATTGCTGTATCACAAAGGGGGATTGCAGTCCTGAAATTGTTGCATCGCTCCCTTAATAGCGATATAACTTGGCAGGATAGTCATAAGGCCTACCTAACTTGAGAATATGAGCTGAATCGATTTTTTTTATTGTTGCCACCAAGTGTTTGACCTTTGGTAACATTCGCTCTTAAGACGCCTGCTCTGCAGGCTAGCAACGGGAAGGTTAAATATCATTACCTTTCGTTCTTCGGACGTCTTTCTTTCTTCTCAGTCTTCCTCTCCTCCTTTGAGTCTCTAAATGTTCTACCGTACTTAGTGAGTTTCCTGTGATACACCCATTAATCATGATACGGGGAATCTGTGGCCCTTTTTTTTGCAGGTTTTTCGCTCCCTCTCACTTTTTCCTTATTCGATCTTTCTTCGGTTTGTTCGTTCGATCATGTTTTGTCTAATTTTTCCATTTCAGTTGTCATACTCACTCAAATTGTATGGAGGGTGCCTTCAAAGTAATTAAAACCTGCACCATTTTTGGACCGTACGTTTGTGATGGGTGCGCAGAGGGATACTATTTTAATCCTAGCTCCGGCTTAAATGGGGCCTGTACAAAATGTAGACAACCCTGCAACAATTTGGAAGAAGAAAAGCGAACATGCAAAACAGAGCACAACCGAATGTGTGTCCTCGCAATAAAAACACCACCTACAGTGCGTGTTTCGAGTAAGTTTTAGATTTAAAAAGGCAGTCAACACAGGGTTAAGAATTCAACAGCACCCCTGGACCACAACACGGTCTGTAAATAGCAAGAGGAAATAATTTCTTGATAATACTTAATTTGCATCAAACAGCAAACAAACCGCAACCTCCTTGAACCCTTTAAGTTTCTAGCAATTATTCGCCCATTACAAGATGAGTAATTTTGGATGATCCCCGATTTAACAATATTAGCTCAGGCTGAAACGAATATATATATTTATTAAAAACTAGATCATTGGATAATGCAATTCAAGACTTTTTATTGGCTTAGCCATTATGGTATATCAGCCAATATACCATAATCTACAAATATGGTAAGCGTACGTGTCAGCTTAAAATTAAAAGAGAGCTAAAAATTTAATAAAATTTAATAATTTAATTTAACGTTTTTAATAAAACAATTATTCCACTCGCACTTGTTGGATATGAGATGATTATAGCCAACTCGGTGCTACGCGCCTCGTTGGCTATCTATCATCTCATATCCAACGCGCACTCGTGGAATAATTGTTAAATATATCTATATATATATATATAAAGTGTGACTTGATTTTCGTAGAACAGTGCTCAATAGATAGAAGTAGAGCGAAGTATATATTGTGGGAGGAAAAAGACAAGTAAACTACAAGTAAACTACAATTTCAGAACTTGTCTTTTTCCTCCCACAATATATATATATATATGATCAGTTAGGTATTATTGTTCAGGCACTTATTATAATAAAACTGTAAGTTTTATTTCAAACATCAATATTTTCAATCTGTAATATGCACTTAACAGAAGCAAAAATGAATGGAGATAATTTGTTGTGGTCGTGTCAAAATTTGTTTGCAAAGGGCTGTTAAACAGGCTAGTGCCCTTGCTAAGATTCATCCGCGCGAAATATGAACTCATCCTTGACCAATCAGAGCTCGAGATTTTCCATTATCCACTGATGGATGATTCTTCAATTCTACAATTTTTTTTTTAAATTCGCGAAAACTTTTATCCGCAACAGCTACATCATCTTTGACCCATATTTTCATTCAGTATATAAGATCGGATCGAAATTTTTAAGCGTTTTTTTTTTAATACTATAAACCCAGTTTTAAGTCTGTCATATTTGCTCGTGGACGGTATTTAAAGAGGATATACAGCAAGCAGCCACTTGCAATTTTTCTTTATAAAACGGTTTATATTACCTCTTTTCTAAGAACACCACTGACTTTCAAAGTTTGTAATATCTAGAAGAAGCAAAAGCAGAAACAGAAGCAGGGCAGCAGTAGTAAATATATGCAAGAATATTCATATAAATTCTATATCAAAAACGTTCTTTTCCTCTTTAGGCAACTCTTCTCGGGAAAGAACAGTTGTTCCAGAATTAGATTCTGTGGAAACAACAGTTATTCCGACAGAAACATCAATTCAGCCAGATGCAGCGGGAACAACTCCAATTGCAAAAGAAACATCAACTTCTGAACCATGGCAAGGTGTGTTAATAACAAGAGAATATCATTCCTCCATAATACTTGATTTGCATAACAGCAAACAAACCGCAACCTCTTTCATCCCTTTCTTTTAGTCTCTGGCAATTATTCGATTACGACGATGATAGTCATCTTCTATTACTACATCATGTTTGGCCCTTATTTTCATTCAGTTCGTAAAATCGGATCGAAACTGCTTAATTCTGTTTATAACCTTGAGCCTAATTTGATTTTGTTTTTTACCGTGAGCCTAATTTGCAGTCAGTCTTATATGCTCGTTTACGGTATTTAAAAAATTATATACAAAGAGTAGGCACCTTGGCTTTTTCTTTATAAAACACAGAAATGTTATTTTCCTCTTTAGGAAACCCTTCTGCGGAAATAACAGTTGTTCCAGAATCAGATGCTGTGGAAACAACAGTTGCTCCAACAGAAACATCAGTTCAGCAATCGAAGGAAAATCTGTGGTTCAAGATTGGCTTAGCGGCTGTCGCATTGTTAGTTTGTGCACTTATGGGGATAAAATGTAAACGAGGCTGTGAGAAGAAGAAGAAGAAAGAGCGTGGCAAGACAAAAAGGGGAGGAAATATTGAGATGCAAGATGTACCACTAATGAGAGGTGAGCTCAACGACCTGCTTGATATAACTGTTACACCGTTCTTACTAGACTGATGGGTTCTCCTAACAAAAGAATCATGATAGTTGTGTTTCGTCCCTGATAATTCGAAAGAAGTGGAGTAGCTAAATACAATCAAGCAAACTCATTATTATATTCTAAGTGCGCGAAAAAAATATTATCTGCCTATCAAGAGACGTAAAGGTCGCGCGATAACTTAAGGAAGCGCGTAAAAATAAAAAGCTACAGAGTGACAAGGAAACAACCCAAACATTTCAACAATTAGAAGCACATTAAATATGTCACTTTCATCGTTAACAAATCTTTACTTATCCATTTGTCTCCTACGACTTTTTAATTTCTTTTCAACTTCAGGCTTGGATTGTCCAATTCAAGACCTCCCAGTCAGTAACAGAAAATCTATTTCGAAGATGCCCAATGGGAAAGACTTCTTAGGTGAGAGAAGTGTACTTCACTAAGAAAATCTAGCTACACTTCACCAAGTTGTAAGCAAAATAAAAACCTCTTATCAAAAATCTAAATCTTAGGCTATTTCTACTGGAGAATAGTCGCCGAGAACCTTGGTTTGGGAAATGATTGGGAAGCCTGGGGGATTTCGGAGAATCCGACAGAACTCCTTCTCAAATCGTATGGCCAAAAGAGTGGCAGTACAATTCAAGGGCTGATCAGAGCCCTTAAAGAAGCCGACCTGACTAAATTTGCCGATGATATCGAAAACATGTTTGCCACCCCACCTCAGGGTGGACCTTAGAGGATGGCCCAGAACGAGAAGCCTACGGCTACCTCAGATGATGTTCCGTTTTCACCGAGGCATAATGCTATTGGTCTACACTAGCTATTCAGAATAACAAACTAGCTCATTCCTGGAAAAAAATTCTTCATATACCATCAAAGAAATTGAATTTATGGAATATTTGAATTCAATTGCCAATTTAATTATTTATCAAAGGTGTATTTGGTATGACTAAAGATCTATGACGGAATTTGTAATAGAAGATGATTCAGTTGAGGAAACAATGGTTCATCATTGATGCTTAGCTTAATATAAATCTCAAATACAAGTAAAAGGAAGAAAATACAAGAAACAAAAAACTAAAATAAACAAGGAAAGCTTGTTTCTTCTATCATTTTGATAAGCTATAGAATAGATAGAAGGCTTGCTTGGTGGAAATGCCCAATTGTTTGCAGTTTAGTAGTGACTACACTAATGTAGTTCCAAGGTGTGTGATCTACTTTACTATTGTTAGTCTTTCACCTTACATGTATGGTGATCTCAGGGAATAATCAAACATTCAATTCACTCTCTCACTATCTAACTGATATTATTTCAGTGATATTTCCAATTACTTAACTTTTTACTTATTTAACCTTTTGATGGTATTTAACAACAAGGATTCTTAATTAACTAGCCTTAACCAGGTTTAGAATGATGCTATTTCCCTGGTTTAGATAGCCTTGTCTCACAATTGTCTCTCCTCCAGAGGTAATGATACAAGAGGTCTACTTTTTGTGGTAATTAGAAAGTGACAAAAAGTTATCAAATATACCAGTAGCATTATTACAATATGTGACCACAGCATTCTGTCATGGATAAATTACAGAGCAAAATGTCCACACAATACCATAAACCTTCTAACAGTCTTGAAGCCAAAACATAACCACTTACAATGACTGCTTCAACTCCAAAGGCCATCAATTTGATCTTAAAATTCAGAGATCAGTTATTTTCTACTTGCTAGGTAAAAAACAAAACAAAAACAAGAAAGAAGAGAAATGGTTATTCAGCTTGAGTTTCCCTTTATAGTATTGTAATCTGCACATTTTTCTAAAAAGCCTGGTGACAACAGATAAGAATAGATGGGAAGCTCTAAAACTCTACTCTCAGCCTGTTGACTCCATGAGAAGCAACTGTGTGAAAAAAATGTATTTAGTACACTGCTTGTCTATTTTCTGAGCTCATTTTCATATTTGTAAATCATATTTTTATCATATTTTTTTCATGTTTGTAAAGCATAAGAAACAAGATCAAGGTAATCTTGATTGTTTTAGTTGCACTGAAGATGACAAGTGACAGTTTTTAGCATGATGATAACTTTGTAGAGTATTTTGGTCTCACTTTTTAAAATTACTTTGAAAAGGTTGCGTATATCGATCCATCTATAAGTTTTATAGCCACAAGTTCTAGCCATATTCATGAATTATTGGCAGATAGGCAAACTGGTTGGTGACAAATTACTTGCTATGCATATGAAAGTTTTGTAAGATTAGGTTGTTTTCTTAACAAATAGTTTGACTATCTTCAACAGTTATTTAGTTATTATTTTGTTTTCTGAGCATGGGACATTAATGTTCTGTTTTTACCTTAATAAATAGTTAATTTCAATAAATTGTAAACAGTTAATTAATTAGTTGTTTGTTTAGTTGTTTGTTTAGTATGATGTATATTACATCATTTAGTATGATGATATATTACATTATACATATCTTGTACTCTGTTTTAAGCCTACCTCAGATTAAGTGATTAATTGACTTCATTGTCTTTGTGATTGTAAAATCTGAAATTTGATTAAATAATAAAATAAATAAATAAAAATAAAAATTAATAAATAAAATAGTTGTTTCTTCACTTGCTAGGTGTATAAATTCATAAATATAAAACTGGGTACATTTGGAGCCCATACCCTCACTGTTTTCTTTTCTTTGGTTCATTTGCTGAAATGGGGTGAGGCTTGAGGTTGTGATTTTCTTTTCTAAAGGGGGTCTCCCCTTTTTAACTGTCTGGATTCATCCTGGCTTATAAGAACTCCACAAATGGAAACTGACACAAGGAATGATCACTTTAATTGAGGATATTTAACTAGCCAAGGGTTTTTTTTGTCCTTATTTATTTGGAGTGGTTTATTTTGAAGTAATTTATTACCAAGCATCCTTCTTGCTTTCGTATAAATCGATCCTGTACATCAACATTTGTAAGTATTCCAGACTTTAACAAAATGCCATCATTAAGCATAGGATATGTTTAATATAATTGACAACATTTAGTGCATAGTTATCATATTAATTAGAATATTTAGCTCAAATGATGTTTTATTTCAATTGAATATGAAAATAACTATTTGAATGTCATCTGATATTGGGAGTACTTTTAAATATTTGTCTGATCAACTGCCTTTAGATTTTACTGGCAGAGAAGGAGGGAGGGTTGGGGACAGATGAAAGAATAGAAATCTAGTCATGTAAATACTTTTAAAGTGCAAGGTACTTGCTTTTTCTTTTTCGAATAAACATGACAGTTTGTTTATTTTGCAGACATTTTTTTGCCATGCTAACTAAGACTTAGATGAGAAACAGAGGAACATCAACAACAATCAAACCATGGTATAAAAGACATGTTTGGATCATCTACCTTGTTTTTGCTTGTCTGTTTGTTTGTTTGTTTGTTTTTGCTGCATTTACGCACCCTTGGATTTAATAAGTCGTCAAATTTACGCACTGTTGAAAGAGAAAACCACCCCCATTCCCCTGAAATACGCTTTGATCAGAGGTTAAGAATTGCTGAGGTAACAGTAAGTGGACATGATCATGATCCGTGGGGAGACAAGAGTGGGGGATTCGACGTACCGACGAAAGGACTAAGGGATTCATCTGAGATCTGGAAATTCAGGTCATTGATGAGGCTTACAATTACCCCTAAAAGAGTAAAAGAACACCAACTTTAATGTTTAGATCCGAAGTTTCAATACCTTAGGTTAATTAACAGGATTTCGCTTCTGATGTCAGTTTAAGCTATTGCGGTTGTAATGTTTTGATGATGTTTGATGGTACTTCTCCAAATCTAAAATGGGAATACATTTAAGTTCACTGGTAGATCCTATCGCGTAGGAAACAAGGGAATTTAAAGCTAGCAAAAGATATCTAAAGCTACAGAAATAACGACATTCGAACTTCACCTCAGTAACTGAAGAATCGACAGTTGTGTTTCGTCTGATTTTCCCTCAGCTTCCAGCGTAAAGGACCCAGAATTAGGAAGCTTCACTAAACAGGTCGATAATCTTAATCTAAAATACAAATAGCGTAAAATAATTACTCCAAAAGCCTTAAAATAAAAGCGTTAAAAAGAGGGCTTAGCGAGACCTGCATTCTCCCGCCAAAATCAACCTTTGGTTGCATCATTAGTCCTACGTAGTGGGGGTGGGGAGCGAAAAGCAGACAAAATTAGGACACGCGGCTCGTTTACAGACCTATCCCCAGAGTCAAAGTAAAACACAGGGTCAAGTAAAACACATAAATAAACAAAACAAACCACAAATCGCTCTGTTTCCCAGTAGAAGGTTACAGAACTTGATAAACGCTTTTTGCCCGCGAAAAGTGATCGATGAAAATGCCAGGATGTTACATAAGTACATGAATTTCTGGAGTTCACAGTTCCTAGGTGTCACAGTAACAGTGTAGACGGAATACTTTTGTTCGCTGAGAATTAAAGGAGTACTACTATAGTTCGCAAAATTTTCTTAGTATTCTGATTTTTTTCGTAAGACGAAAAGCTGTATAAACACGAGTTCAAAGTAATTTGTAATAATTAAAAACAATTCATAGAAACAAACAGGCCATTGATCTTCTGCGAAGCCTTGGTAAACCACAGTTTCGTTAGGGAAAACGTTGCAGAATGGCCTAAAGTCATGGTATGAGAAAGAGAAAATAATTGAACTTCGAGTAAAATAAGTACAAGGGTAAACTGCCTGGAAGAGTACTGCTCGAAGACACCTTGAAACACAACGAAGATAGCCTTTCAAGAAATCTTTTTATCCTGCTGCAAAAGCTCAACTAAGAACATATATTGCCTAGCTTTGTGTTATAAACTTCTGCTTCACCAGCTGCAGTAAGCCGATTTTGAAGCTCTAGCTCCTTCATTTCTTCACAAGCCACGTTTAAACGTGCCACTTTTAGGTTGTCCTCATAAGCAAAGGCCTCTTCCTCGGTTGCACGTGGCTCTACTTCTTTGTCGTACGGAGCGCGAAATATCCAATATTTTTCCTCAACACTGCAACAATCATTCATGGACCCCCCATCGAAAGAAAAAGTACTATTTACTGTTGGTGAAAATGGAGAACGGTGACATTTTTCGAGCAAGATCAATGAATTCCTTTATTTACTTCGACTGAGCTTCGACGAAAGGGATAATATGATGCCACAATGGACAAAAACGCTGACAATATCGTTGGCTCAGTTGTTGAAGTTTTAGCAATGGCCAACGAAATTTAGTGAGTTTTAGTCAAACAATTCTAGGAAATCTCTTGCCGAGGTAAATTTGAATCGTATGTTTTTCTCTTTTCGTTTAGGATCTAAACTTTAATTGTCGGCATAAAAAATTGATTTTCAAGATCATCAATTTTCGTCTCAGTAGCACTTTAAGAGCCACTGATCGTAAATATCGAGAATCCGCCGACAGTTGCAAAATTCCGTACTTCATTTTATTTTTTCTAATGACCCTTTTAATGAACCTTTTTCGAAAATTATATCAAAAAGTTCTATCGCGCTTTGTTTTCTTCGAAAAATCGAGAAGTTCAAAATACGCCTATATTGTCCTGGTCCTCCTTCCCCCCCCTCCGTAAAGCAACGAAAAATTATACAATTTCGGTAACTTCGTACGCTACAACGCGATACAATCCCGCTTTTTAATTTTGTGTGCTAACAGACTATCCTTTTGTCTCTTGGAAAATATTAGCTTCTTGTTACGTAAGGAGCTTTAAATTATGATTTATAAATTTATATGGCAGACCTGTTCATAGGCCACTGAAGTTGACCTCTATTTTACCTCTGCGAAAAAGACGCGAAGTACCTTATT